GTGTCATCGGTTAAACATCGTACGAGGGTCGTCATCGTACCCGAAGTCATCGCCCGAGGGTCAAAGTCATCGTACTCCGAGGCTAAGAGTGATCGCTACTACACATCTTGTGGCGCCTCTTGACAGATATGACGAAGATCCGCCAAAAAATACGACCTCTTTCAGCACACAAGAATGATTTTTATTGGTGGCAACTGATCCCTCTCCGCCAATCACAGACAATTTACATTCATGGTCCCTCGTACAAAAGTTGTGTTGCCGCTTCGCCCGGGGACGGTGAGCGGCCGCCTCTGAGGGAGTCATCACAAGATTATTTGGAGAAGACCTGGAGGAAAGTCGTGTGCCCAGCCTTGTGTGAGGAACAGTGCCCGCGAGGGAACTAAGTGGGCGGAAGTTTTCCTCGACAGGCGTGTGTACGTCCGTGTGTCTGTCTGGGTGCTGCTAAATTGATTTTTTTTTTAAATTCGAGGATATCAACACTTACAGCTGTGCCCTATTTGTTTACAAATCTGTCAATAACTTGATTGACAACAATTATTTCCAGTTCCGGAATAATCAAAGATAGAACTTAAGGCACCCAGAGCTACTAAGACCACCCCAATGCGCTCCTCTCAGTCCCAGAACTCCATAAAATGTACAGTATATATCAGGCGCCTACAGGAGAGCTCAGGCTCTCAACTGGCTCAGCCATGTTAGTATTATTATTATTATCCACTCTGTATCTGTGTTTTTATGGCTAAATAAACTGTTTCAATATCAGTATCAATATCAATGTCGTGTGTACGTCCGTGTGTCTATCTGAGTACTGCTTAACAGTCGTCAGTAGGTCCAGGGGAAGAATAGACCGTAATTGTTACAGGTAACTACAAGTAACTACAGGTAACTACAGGTAACACTTGTAGTTTGCCGTGTTGTTACAGGTCAACAGAATGGTGTGTAAATATAAAATAATAAGAGTACGATCATATAGTATATATTGTTATAATTACACAATTACCGTAAATCATAATTACATTAACAATATCACAAAGTAATGAATATGATTATTGCTCTGTAATTTATATTTTAATGAGTTTGTACTGTACTGTTAATATTGTTATTATTATTAGTAGTAGTGGTAGTAGTAGTAGTAGTAGTAGTAGTAGTAGTAGTAGTAGTAGTCGTTATTTTCATTATTATTATTACTACTATTATTATATTATTATTATTATTATTATTATTATTATTGTTGTTATACAAAACAACATAAATTTCACCCCTAAAAATATTACACTTATCAAAACACAAAAACAACAAACCTTTCAAAATAACTTAATCTTTTTCATCGATTTTATTTTTTCTTATTTTTCATCCAGTCGAATTTTCCAGCCAGTTGGAATTTTCTCTTCTCTAAAAAAAATCCTTCCACGATAAGGAATCTTTTTATTGGTTCATATTAAAACTCACACGCATACGTAATTCTTTTAATATTTCTCTTGATCCCGTGGTTAAAAAGTTCCGGCCTTTCGCTAACTTTTGGAAATTGTGTGTGTGTGACATGGGCGGCGCTCTCTATTGATCATGAATAATGGTGGGGTCGTGAAGAATGGGGGTGGGGGTCGTGAAGAATGGTGGTTGGTGGGGTCGTGAAGAATGGTTGTTGGTGGGGTAGTGAAGAACGGGGTTAGGGGGTCGTGAAGAAGATGGGGTTGGTGGGGTCGTGAATAACGGGGGTTAGGGGTCGTGAAGAATGGGGGTTGACGGTTATTGGGGTCGTGAATAATATGCAAATGGCTTTTGAATAATGTGTTTTGAGTAATGGCTATAAATAATGGGTAATGAGTCACCAATAAATAATAGGGGACTGTCCTTGAATGATGGGTAATGGAGTTATGACAAATGGATAATGGGGCCATGGGTAATCAGATAATGGGTGATATGAATAATGACGTTGTAAATAGTTGACGTATGAATTTATTATTTACCATTAATGGGGTCATATAATGGGTCGTGAAAAATCGATCATGAATAATGGCAACGTGAATAATGGGTAATAGTTATGATGGTCTGACTTTCCTTCTTACCCATTATTTTAAATTCTTCCCATTTTTAGCACTCCATTAACGTTTCTCTCTCTCTCTCTCTCTCTCTCTCTCTCTCTCTCTCTCTCTCTCTCTCATTACTGTTAACAATAAACTTAACTGCATTTAACACTAATTTATAGCATCATGATAATTAACTTTAAGAAATGATTAAGGTTAAACCATCGGCCTCAGCGAGTTAAACCATCGGCCTCAACGGATTAAAACAACTCGTAATAAACTCGCCAAGAAATGTCGTTTTCTTCGTGTGAGTGAGTGAGTGAGTGAGTGAGTGAGTGAGTGAGTGACGTAGAGCTAGTAGCACAACTAACAATGGAAAGAAGTGAAATATGAGGAAGAGTAATAATAATGTGATCAGTTATTGGTCAAGCTCACACGATGACTCATGTATTTAACACCTGGGTGAAAAGTGTAATGGTGACAGGGGAAGGAGGAGGTGGTGGAAGAGGGGAGGGGACCTGGAGGAAGAGGAGGAGGTCGTGGGAGGGGGCAGGGAAGAGGAGGTGGAAGAGGGGGAGAGGACGGGGAAGGAGAAAAAGGTGAGGAGGGGGCAGGAGGAGGTGGTGGAAGAGGGGAGGGGACCTGGAGGAAGAGGAGGAGGTCGTGGGAGGGGGCAGGGAAGAGGAGGTGGAAGAGGGGGAGAGGACGGGGAAGGAGAAAAAGGTGAGGAGGGGGCAGGAAGGAGATGGTGGAAGAGGAGGGGGCGGCGAGGATGGGGGTGGAGGGGTCGAGAAGAGAGGAGGGGGGAACTCGCATCAGTAGACGCACTGACAAAGAAAATTTTCGATTTAAAATCTGGAGAGTGAAAAGAATCTGTGAGAGAGGAAGTGAAGCAGTGATGAACCCTCACACCTCCACGTTGATCAGATTTACAAGTTGTAGTCAGAGATGATGAATGATGATAATATAGTAGTAGTAGTAGTAGTTGTAATTGTAGTAGTACCCCCGCTGTGACCTTATCTAAGCAATCTAATGTGACACTTGCTCTGCCCAGTGGTTCTACAGTTCATTCTCTTGGGGGTTCACTCACCCGCGCTATCATGCTCTGCCTCCTGTCGGCAATACAGTACGCAGGGAGATGTTGTTTTGTTTTGATGATCCTTGAACTGTAGTATTACCGCTGTGTGGCCGCAAGCAGCTGTACTATGCACCCCCACAGCTTGTATCCAGCATTGTATTAACTCTCTGTGGGTGACGGTTGAATGCCTCGTGAACGATACCTTAAACCAACGTTCTTAAACAATTATAACTTAAACCATCTTCCTCAGAGGGCTAGGCGTTCTGATCATATCCCCACGCTTCTTGTGGTACACCTCGTCCCTCTCAGCTGGCACACCTCGTCCCTCTCAGCTGGCACACCTCGTCCCTCTCAGCTGGCACACCTCGTCCCTCTCAGCTGGTACACCTCGTCCCTCTCAGCTGGTACACCTCATCCCTCTCAGCTGGTACACCTCATCCCTCTCAGCTGGTACACCTCGTCCCTCTCAGCTGGCACACCTCGTCCCTCTCAGCTGGTACACCTCGTCCTCCTCAGCTGGTACACCTCGTCCTCCTCAACTGGTACACCTTGTCCTCCTCAGCTGATATACCTCGTCCTCCTCAGCTGGTACACCTCGTCCTCCTCAGCTGGTACACCTTGTCCTCCTCAGCTGGTACACCTGTCCTCTCCTCACACCTCGTCTCTCAGCTGGCACACACCTGCACCTCGTCCCTCTCAGCTGGCACACTTCGTCCCTCTCAGCTGATACACCTCGTCCTCCTCAGCTGGTACACTTCGTCCCTCTCAGCTGATACACCTCGTGCTCCTCGTCCTCCTCAGCTGACAGCTGATACACCTCGTCCCTCCAGCTGGTACACTTCGTCCCTCTCAGCTGATACACCTCGTCCCTCCTCAGCTGGTACACTTCGTCCCTCTCAGCTGATACACCTCGTCCTCCTCAGCTGGCACTGGCTGACACCCTCGTCCTCCTCAACTGGTACACCTCGTCCTCCTCAACTGGTACACCTCCTCAACTGGTACACCTCGTCCTCCTCAACTGGTACACCTCGTCCGGTACCTACTGGTATTGTCCCTCTGGTATACCCAGACGACAAAAGTGGGGGTCCTAGGCCTGACGGGTAGTGCGGCTACAACACACTGTATACTAAACCTTCGGTACACAACAGCAAGCATGGTCGTCACTGCACTCGAGTTCTCTTAAAGATAAACAGCTGAGTTGCCTTGTTCATTACGTGTGTGTGTGTGTGTGTGTGTGTGTGTGTGTGTGTGTGTGTGTGTGTGTGTGTGTGTGTGTGTAACAAGAGTGCAGAGGTCTTATTGCAACTATATCTTGCGCTAGTCAGGCCGCACCTCGATTATGCGGTTCAGTTCTGGTGCCCCTATTATAGAATGGATATAAATCACTAGAGTCGGTGCCGCGAAGAATGACAAAAATGATTCCGGGACTTAGAAACCTTCCATATCAGGATAGGTTAAAGAAACTTAACTTGCATTCCCTAGAAAGACGAAGAGTGCGGGAGATATGATAGAAGTATTTAAGTGGGTGAAAGGAATCAATAAAGGGATATAGATAAAGTTCTTATAATATCCGAGCAGGATAGGACTCGTAGCAACGGATTCAAGTTGGATAAGTTTAGGTTTAGGAGGGAGATAGGAAGAAACTGGTTCAAATAGGGTGGTGGACGAGTGGAACAAGCTTAGCAACTTTGTAGTAAGTGCGGGAACTCTGGAAAGTTTCAAAAGGAGGCTAGATAGATTCATGGATGATAGAGAGTGGTAGTAACTCTCGACAGGAGCTGCCATGCACAGGCCAACCGACCTATTGCAGACTCCTTATGTTCTTATGTTCTTATGTTCTTATGTTCTTATGTGTGCTGTCTAACACTGTGTCTGGAGATAGACCTCAACAAGTCGGGCTGATGTTGTCTCTCAGGAACATTATGAGAACCAACAACGGTATTATCACTCAGAGATGCACCGGAGATCCCAACATTATACCCAGTGTGGTGGTGGAAGTTGTATCCGGGTACATAATTAATGACAACGTGGTCTCATGTGGCAGCTTCCTAACTTATAATTTTGGCTTCTATGTCATGTATGAGGGTGCATTGTACAGTAGTCATGACGCTTCAGTTACACTCGAGAATACTTACGTTACCAAGACTGCCATCTTTTGTACACCAACTTACAGCTTACGATTAATATCCTCTTGTGTTACCTGAAACATTAATGGAATGTGTTGAGTGTATATAAGAACACCGTTATACCTCTGGCTGTAGATCAGTCCGTGGGTAGCTACACGTAAACATATTTCCTGATGATGATGATGATGATACGGGAGGAATGGTGTGTTGTGACGACTAACACGAGTACCTGACAGTGTGCACGAGAGGTCATCATCATCGTCATGGTCAATGTATCGTTATGAATTACTGTGTATTAAAAGTGTTCCTTCATGTCCCAACATTTTTTTTCAAGTATTACAAAATCCTCGTCGCTCTTTGTAATGTTTTGTTATTAATGAGTTTTTATTGCATTTATGTTATAATTTTATAGTTATTCTTATTTTAATTACAGTTACGTGTTTAAAAATAACTTCTAACTTGATTCTAATTATCATCATAATTATGTGTTTGTTTTACACTGATTCTTATCTACAGTGTACATATAAATACAGCAAACCTTCCAGCCTTGTCCATTATTGGGAGGATTCTGTTATTGAGAATATCCGCTATTGAGAAGTCCGCTGTTGAGAGTGTTTACTGTATCCATGACTATTGAGAAGTCCGCTATTGAGAGTGTTTTATTGAGAAGGTTTGCTGTCTGTGTGTGTGTTCGTTTTACAAAGCTCTTCATGTTCCAACGTTTTGTTTCTGTCTCCCGCAGTACCGGAGGGGAAGCCCATCTTCACAGCGGCACACAACGCCTCGTCCACCAGTCTACAACTCCACTGAGCCCCAATCGCTCCACCATCCACGGGGAGTTCCTGGGCTACCGTATTACACTCAAGCCCAGAGACATACCCAACCCTCGCTCTGAACAAGTGGTTAAAATCACCGTCAAAGATCCCAATGTCAATGTGAGTTATAATCATCTCTTTATTTACAAATCCAGTGTGTGTGTGTGTGTGGGGGGTGGGGCGGAGGGGGGCATGTTTTGGAATGTGGAGGGCGTGTTCTATTCTTTTCTTTTTTAATTCAAGTCAGGTTAGCTAGGTCAGGTCATGTTAGGTTGAGCATGTTAGGTTTGGTTAAGTCATATTAGTTTAGGTTGAGTCGAGTTAGGTTAAGTCGAGTTAGGTTAAGTCGAGTTAGGTTAAGTCATGTTAGGTTAGGTTAAGTCAAGTCAGGTTAGGTTAGGTCAGGTCATGTTAGGTTGAGCATGTTAGGTTTGGTTAAGTCATATTAGTTTAGGTTAAGTCGGGTTAGGTTAAGTCGAGTTAGGTTAAGTCGAGTTAGGTTAAGTCATGTTAGGTTAGGTTAGGTCATGTTAGGTTGAGCATGTTAGGTTTGGTTAAGTCATATTAGTTTAGGTTAAGTCGAGTTAGGTTAAGTCGAGTTAGGTTAAGTCGAGTTAGGTTAAGTCATGTTAGGTTAGGTTAAGTCAAGTCAGGTTAGGTTAGATTAGGTTAAGTTCAGTCTTGTTAGGTTAGGTTAAGTAATGTTAGTTTAGATTAAGTCAGGTTAGGTTATATTTCGGGTTTCGTGAGTGAGTGCTCAGGAACACAGAGACTTAATAAGTCATGTCATGAAAGGATTATCTTGGAGTCTTACTGACGCGTTTACTCAACCTCTCGTGAAGCATCAGGCGCCTCTAGATCTAAACCGATTGAAGTGTGTGTGTGTGTGTGTGTGTGTGTGTGTGTGTGGTGACGGCCGTGAGTGAGGTTAATGGAAGTAAAATATGGGTTAAAAAGATAAACTTATATTTTGTGGTCACCTCAGGCACCACCAAAAATTATTGGGCACCCGTGTCATATTGAAACACGCCGTAAGGGTGCCCAATAGTTTTTTAGTGGTGACACAGTCCCCCTCACTAGTGCGTTTACAGGGGCTGTGGTTTTGTGCAGTGTGGCAGCGCTGTATTTGGTTATAGGAAACTCGCAATAGTAAACATACTATGGAATCAAAGTAAAAAAAAATATTAAAACAAATATATTTATGGAATGTTTAATAAGAAATGCATTAAATAGACTGTTATTAGAGTGCATCTTTTGCCTAGTGGACGGTGGTATAACGAGGTGAAGTGACGTAAAGAGAATATGGGGCAGCAGGGAGGGAAATGGAGGCAGGTGCTCCTCTACCTACAGTAATGGTATCCGTGAATGATGATCACTCACTTGAAGCTTAAGTTCATGTCTATTGTTTTCCTCGTCTGCTATATTATGCAGATAACTTTCATACTGTTCATGATAAACTTTGGCCATAGTGTGAACAAGAGGAGGTTTGAAGTTAATTGCAGTGATTCTTTATTCACAAGTGTTTGTTGTTTGCTAGAACAGTCTACTATACTATACTAATAGAGTTAATAAAACCTGTAATAATAATAAATTGCTTGCAATCTGTCTCAGTATCCGAGGTGCATGTCACATCTGGTTGAGTATGGATGGTGAATTGTAAATGAAAATATGACTTCTAAGCACAACTAATTCCCTTTCTAAGCCATATCTGTTTCTTTTATCTGTAAAGGAATCAGGACCAAGTGAGGGTGTGAATTGATTGATCATTGCTAACTTACTGTAATCAGTGTTTGATACCTGTGTCTTTTAAGAAATTTTCAATCCGTTGTTATTTAAGTTATTTTATTTTGAAACCAGTATGAAGGCAACAATATGTGTTGAATATGTTTCTAAATAAATTCTGTGCAGTGGAAACAGACTTCAGTCCACCTCTTTTAGAATGAAAACATGTTGGCAACACTTGAGGTGCCAATGCAACATTTCATATTCATTCATCACAGGCAACAATTGGAGGTTTTCTTCTGATGTAGCATTTTGATGTAATCATTGTATCGTGGTGACAGTTTATGTTAAACACACACACACACACACCTTCACAATATTTTCTTCCCTTACTAATTAAAGACAAGTAAAATATCAAAATTCTGAATTTTGTGTTATTCAATAATGGTATGAATTAAGAGGCCTTCTTTCTCACAACACCTCGCCCGCCTCCCCTACATGCACCACAAGTGGCCTTAGCCTCCCTTGTCCATGGATGTAACTCATAGACGATTATAAACTTTTACGAAAGAGAATATATACAGTAGTGCCTGACAACAGCTACTCCTTCAGCTCGTGAACTTGTGATAATAATATAGATAAAAATGATTTCACACAAACATCTTTAATACAACTTATTAAATAGAGATGGGGCCAAGTGTTCTAAGGTGGAGATGGGACCAAGTGTTCTAAGGTGGAGATGGGACCAAGTGTTCTAAGGTGGAGATGGGACCAAGTGTTCTAGGGTGGACATGGGGCCAAGTGTTCTAGGGTGAGATGGGGCCAAGTGTTCTAAGGTGAGATGGGTGATGGGACCAAGTGTTCTAGGAGAGGACCAAGTCAGGGGGAGATGGGACCATGTTCAAGGTGAGATGGGACTGGACTAAGGTGGAGATGGGACCAAGTGTTCTAAGGGAGATGGGACCATGTTCTAGGTGACATAGGCCAATTGTTCTAGGGTGGAGATGGGGCCAGGTTCTAGGTGAGATGGGACCGGTTAAGGTGAGATGGGACCATGTTCTCGGTGAGATGGCAAGTGTTAAGGTGAGATGGGAAGTGTTTAACGGAGATGGAACCAAGTGTTCTAAGGTGGAGTGGGGCCAAGTGTTCTAGTGAGATGGGGCACAAGAGATGGGACCGTGTTCTAAGGTGGAGATGGGACCATGTTCAAGGTGAGATGGGACCAAGTCTAGGGTGGAGATAGGGACCAAGTGTTCAAGGTGGAGATGGGACCAAGTGTTCTAAGGTGGAGATGGGACCATGTTCTAAGGTGGAGATGGGACCAAGTTATCAGGTGACATGGGGCCAAGTGTTCTAAGGTGAGATGGGGCCAAGTGTTCTAGGTGATGGGACCGTGTCTCAAGGTGAGATGGGACCAAGTGTTCTGGGAGATGGGGCCAAGTGTTCTAAGGTGAGATGGGGCCAAGTGTTCTAACGTGGAGATGGGACCAAGTGTTCTAAAGGAGATGGGGCCAAGGTTCTAGGGGTGGAGATGGGGCCAAGAAGGTGGAGATGGGGCCAAGTGTTCTAATGTGAGATGGGGCCAAGTGTTCTAGGTGAGACAAATGTTTAACGTGAGATGGGACCAAGTGTTCTAAGGTGGAGATGGGACCAAGTGTTCTAAGGTGGAGATGAATGAAGTGTCGGGGAGATGGGACCAAGGTTTAGGTGACATGGGGCTAGGGTGGAGATAGCCAAGTGTTCTAGGGTGGAGATGGGACCAAGTGTTCTAGGGTGGAGATGGGGCCAAGTGTTCTAGGTGAAATGGGGCCAAGTGTTCTGAGGTGAGATGGATCAGTGTTCAGGGTGAGATGGGACCAAGTGTTCTATGCAAATGGGGCCAAGTGTTTAAGAGATACCAAGTGTTCTAGGGTGAGATGGGACCAAGTGTTCTAAGGTGGAGATGGGACAAGTGTTCAGGTGCAAATGGAGGCAAGGTTCTAAGGAGATGGGACCAAGTGTTCTAAGGTGGAGATGGACCAAGTGTTCTAGGTGGGAGATGGGACCAAGTGTTCTAGGGTGGAGATGGGACCGTGTTCTAAGGTGCAAACCAAGTGTTAGGTGGAGATGGGGCAGTTCTGGTGAGATGGACCAAGGTTCTAAGGAGATGGGACCAAGTCAAGGCAAAGCAAGTGTTCAGGCAGAGATGGGGCCATGTTCTAGGGTGATGACCAAGTGTTCAGTGGAAGGGACCAAGTGCTAAGGCAAATGGGAAGTGTTCTAAGGTGAGATGGGGCCAAGTGTTCTAAGGTGGAGATGGGACCAAGTGTTCTAAGGCAAAGGCCAAGGTTCAAAGGTGGAGATGGGACCAAGTGTTCTATGGATAGGGACCGTCTATGGCAACAGATGCAGTTCTAAGTGAGATGGACCATGTTCTGTGATGGGACCAAGTGTTCTAAGTGCAAACAAAGTGTTCTAAGGTGAGATGGGACCAAGTGTTCTAGGGTGGAGATGGGACCAAGTGTTCTAGGCACAAATGGGGTCAAGGTTCTAGGTGGACAATGTTCAGATGGGCCGTGTTCTAACGAGATGGGACATGTCTAGCAAATGGGCCAAGTGTTCTAGGGTGAGATGGGGCCAAGTGTTCAAAGGTGAGACAAACAAGTGTTCTAAGGTGCAAATGGGCCAAGTGGTCTAGGGTGGAGATGGGGCCAAGTGTTCTAGGGTGGAGATGGGGCCAAGTGTTCTAGGGTGGAGATGGGACCAAGTGTTCTAAGGTGGAGATGGGACCAAGTGTTCTAAGGGGCAAATGGGGCCAAGTGTTCTAGGGTGGAGATGGGGCCAAGTGTTCTAGGGTGGAGATGGGGACCAAGTGTTCTAAGGTGGAGATGGGACCATGCTAAGGTGCAAATGGGGCCAAGTGTTCAAGGTGGAGATGGGACCAAGTGTTCTAGGGTGGAGATGGGACCAAGTGTTCTGGTGGAGAGGGACCAAGTGCTAAGGCAAATGGGGCCAAGTGTTCTAAGGTGGAGATGGGACCAAGTGTTCTAAGGTGGAGATGGGACCAAGTGTTCTAGGTGGAGATGGGACCAAGTGTTCTAGGTGAGATGGGACCAAGTGTTCTGGTGCGAATGGGGCCAAGTGTTCTAGGGTGGAGATGGGGCCAAGTGTTCTAGGGTGAGATGGGACCAAGTGTCTCATGGAGATGGGACCATGTTCTAAGGTGCAAATGGGGCCAAGTGTTCTAGGGTGAGATGGGGCCAAGTGTTCTAGTGAGATGGGACCAAGTTCAAGGTGAGATGACCAAGTGTTCTAAGGTGCAAATGGGGCTAAGTGTTCTAAGGTGGAGATGGGACCAAGTGTTCTAAGGTGAGATGGGACCAAGTGTTCTAAGGTGCAAATGGGGCGCGTTCTAAGGA